GCAGGCACTTGGGCTTGGCTGGGCTTTGGGAGCTGTGGCTCCTGCTCCCAGCTCTCCTGCCTCCCTGTGCAGCTGACCAGGCCCTGTGGGACAGGCCTTTGGCCTCTGGGCCCTGTGAGGTTGCACCACCAGAGAGCTGTTGGTGGGGCAGCTTCACAGCACAGCACTGTGTTCCACACAGGCTGAAAGCATCTGCAGCCTGGCTGAAAGCCTCCTGGAGCTGCTGCATCATGAAGACGGAGAGCTGGTCGCAATGACCCTCTCTGTGTTCCTCAATGTGCTCCGGGACGAAGACCTTCAGGCATTCAGCTCCGCTGCCCCAAAGCTGGCTGAGGCACTGTGTCCACTCTTTGACAATGTAAGGCTTTGATACTGCCATGAAACCTTTTGCCCTGTGGATTTTCAGGCCTCTGCCTGGTGGGCCTGGAGCAGCCAATGCTGAGGTCTTTTTCTCTTCTTCTACACCAGGACAACAGCCACGTGCAGCTGCTCTCCATTCGCCTCTTCCGAGAAATGATGGAGTTTCTGGCAGAAGAGGGACAAAAGACACTTGTGCAGCAGAGCCTGGTGCCGCTGTTCTTCCACTGCCGTGACGAGAACCAGTGCGTGGCAGAGGTGAGCACTTGTGGGCTCTGCTGTCCCCGTGGCAGGGGCCTCGGCTGCCTCTTGTCCTGGTGCCTGGTGGGCTCTGGCCTCTTCCTGGCCTTGGCCTTGGGATGCAGGTGCTGTGGTGCCATGTCTTGGTCTCTGCTGCTCTGCAGGCCTCTCGGGAAACACTCCTTTGTGCTGCAAGTTTCCTCAAGAGAAGGGATCTTGAGCAGCTGCTGAGGAAACAGCAGCACTTTGAGTTCTGCGATTGCCTGGTAAGGACCACCCCAAAGGCCCAGCCCCAGGCTGGACAAGCCCACACCCCCCATGCCCAGTGTGTGGGGCTGGCCCTGTGCCCCTGCCCACTGCTGCACCCAGCTGTGGGACACCAGCCTGTGCCCCACACGCTGCTCCCTTCCCTCGGCCGTGTGGGCTCTTCTCCAGGCTCTGGTGCCCCTGAGCCAGGGGGCTGCTGGAGCCCCAGCCCAGCTGGGCTGTGGGGCAGGGTGGCCCCAAGGCTCCCCACGAGCAACTCTGCTCCCTCCAGAGCCCGGCACCACTGGGCCTCAGGGCTGTGCGGGCAGGGGAGGCCAGTGCTGGGAACAGGCAGCGCCCTGCCAAGGGGCAGAGCCTCAGCCAACCCTTCCCTCTGTGCCCTGCTGCTCTCTCCAGATGGACAAGGATGTCAACCTAAGGGACGAGCACCTGCGCCAGGCCCTGCCCTACCTGCAGAGCCCACAGCAGCCCCTGCGAGAGGCGGCCGTCAGGTTCATGGGTGAGCCACAAGCCCGCGGTCCCTCCCTCCCCACTGCAGCTCAGCCCCAGCCCCGGCTGCTCCGGGGGCAGCAGGATGGGCCCAGGGAT